TGTTGCTCTGCAGGTTTTGAAGGAGAACAAATTATCTTTTAAATTTTCTAAATGTGAATTGTGGCTTATAAGTGTGGCTTTTCTTAGGCATATTATCAGCCGAGATAGCATATGTGTGATTAGAATAAGATCATGACAAATGCATAATTGTCAAGACCTAATATTACTGAGGGCAGGAGTTTTCTAAAACTGGTTGACTATTATATAAGCTTTGTAGAAGGATTTTTCTCTGATATCTACGCCTTTATCCCGGCTGCATAGATATCAGTAAAGTTTGAATGGATTGATTGTTGTGAATAGGCTTTTTAGAAGTTGAAGTTTTGCTTAATGAGTGTTCTAGATGTTGATAATTTGAGAAAGTAAATTCTAGAGGTGGCACACTTTTCTAGTTAATGTTATTCACCTAGGAAGTAATAAAATGTATCACGATCTCAATGAAACATTTTGGTGGTCATGATTGTAGTGGAACATGGAAAAATTTATGCCTAAGTGGCCTGCATGTCTGCTAGTGAAGATAGAACATTAGTGTCCTCGAGGTTTGTTACGACCTTTATCTATTCTTGAGTGAAAATTGAAGGAGATTAGTATGGAATTTGGGATTGGATTGCCTAATTCTTGATAGGGTCGTGATGCTATTTGAGTAATTGTTACATATTGACTAAGTTTGTTAATTTCTTGTCTATTAGACAGACATATTTTATTAAGAAGTTAGCCAAATTATATGTGGATCAAATTGTAGGGTTGTATGGAGTGCCAAAGTCTATTGTTTCAGGAAAAGATGATAGATTTCTTTTCAGATTGTGGAAGAAGATTTATGAGGCTTTAGGCACAAGATTGACTTTCAGTACAACCTTTTATCCTTGGACAGATTTCAGAAGGAACTATTAAGATTTTAGGGGATCTACTAAGATTTTGCTCTTGATTTAGTGGAGGATGAGAATCAAATGTACCTTTGGTAGAATTTGCTTATAATAACAGTTACTTTTCTAGTATTGGGATGAATCCACATGAATCTTTGTATGAAAGAAAGTTTGTCTTGTCACCTTTATGTTGGGCAGAAGCAGGCCAAAGAAAGTTCATTAGAGTTGACTTGGTTGATGTTGCTACTGAAAAGATTAGACTAATCATAAACAGATTAAGGGCAGTACAAGATAGATAAAAAATATTATGATGCTAAGCACATAATGTTGAATTTGATGGTAGAGAGTTTGTTTTTATTAAAATCAGTCCTTTGAAGGGTATGCAAAAATTTGAAAAGACGGGAAAATTAAGCACCATATATAGGTCTATATGAGATTGTGGAGAGGATTTGTAGGGTGGTTTATAAACTAATTTTACCAGCTCATATGCAAGCAATGCATAATATTTATCATATTTCTTCACTTTGGAAGTATGTTACTGATATCAAATAGGGGCATTGCAGACTTTGTTGGTTTACAGTCTGATCCAAATTATGTAGAAGAGCCTGAGATGATACTTGATTATGATTTGAGGAAGCATCATAGAAGAAAGATTCCATTTTGAAGATTTTATGAGAGCATGGATCAGAAAATGATGTTACTTGGGAGAAATTTTCAGATGTGTAGGAAAGAAATTCCCAACTCTTCAGTTACTATATGTTTATTTTTGTATTAAGATTTTTAATTTTTGATGATAACATTTGTATGAGGGAAAATTGTAAAATTTGTAAAAATAATAAAATAAAATAAAATAAAATACCAAACAACACAAATGACGAGAGCAAGAGTGCCCGTGTGCAGAAGAAAAATTTTAGGGTTTTGTGAGAAGAGAAAGGAGAAGGAAGAAGGAAGGAGGAGATAAGGAAAGGGAAGAGGGCAACTCACGTGCGACATTGTTCGATTATGTTTTATGTGACAAAGAAAGTGGAAGGAGAAAACGAGAAACCATTGTGAGAAGAGAAAGGAGAAGGAAGAAGGAAGGAGGAGATAAGGAAAGGGAAGAGGGCAACTCACGTGCGACATTGTTCGATTATGTTTTATGTGACAAAGAAAGTGGAAGGAGAAAACGAGAAACCATTGTGAGAAGAGAAAGGAGAAGGAAGAAGGAAGGAGGAGATAAGGAAAGGGAAGAGGGCAACTCACGTGCGACATTGTTCGATTATGTTTTATGTGACAAAGAAAGTGGAAGGAGAAAACGAGAAACCATTGTGAGAAGAGAAAGGAGAAGGAAGAAGGAAGGAGGAGATAAGGAAAGGGAAGAGGGCAACTCACGTGCGACATTGTTCGATTATGTTTTATGTGACAAAGAAAGTGGAAGGAGAAAACGAGAAACCATTGTGAGAAGAGAAAGGAGAAGGAAGAAGGAAGGAGGAGATAAGGAAAGGGAAGAGGGCAACTCACGTGCGACATTGTTCGATTATGTTTTATGTGACAAAGAAAGTGGAAGGAGAAAACGAGAAACCATTGTGAGAAGAGAAAGGAGAAGGAAGAAGGAAGGAGGAGATAAGGAAAGGGAAGAGGGCAACTCACGTGCGACATTGTTCGATTATGTTTTATGTGACAAAGAAAGTGGAAGGAGAAAACGAGAAACCATTGTGAGAAGAGAAAGGAGAAGGAAGAAGGAAGGAGGAGATAAGGAAAGGGAAGAGGGCAACTCACGTGCGACATTGTTCGATTATGTTTTATGTGACAAAGAAAGTGGAAGGAGAAAACGAGAAACCATTGTGAGAAGAGAAAGGAGAAGGAAGAAGGAAGGAGGAGATAAGGAAAGGGAAGAGGGCAACTCACGTGCGACATTGTTCGATTATGTTTTATGTGACAAAGAAAGTGGAAGGAGAAAACGAGAAACCATTGTGAGAAGAGAAAGGAGAAGGAAGAAGGAAGGAGGAGATAAGGAAAGGGAAGAGGGCAACTCACGTGCGACATTGTTCGATTATGTTTTATGTGACAAAGAAAGTGGAAGGAGAAAACGAGAAACCATTGTGAGAAGAGAAAGGAGAAGGAAGAAGGAAGGAGGAGATAAGGAAAGGGAAGAGGGCAACTCACGTGCGACATTGTTCGATTATGTTTTATGTGACAAAGAAAGTGGAAGGAGAAAACGAGAAACCATTGTGAGAAGAGAAAGGAGAAGGAAGAAGGAAGGAGGAGATAAGGAAAGGGAAGAGGGCAACTCACGTGCGACATTGTTCGATTATGTTTTATGTGACAAAGAAAGTGGAAGGAGAAAACGAGAAACCATTGTGAGAAGAGAAAGGAGAAGGAAGAAGGAAGGAGGAGATAAGGAAAGGGAAGAGGGCAACTCACGTGCGACATTGTTCGATTATGTTTTATGTGACAAAGAAAGTGGAAGGAGAAAACGAGAAACCATTGTGAGAAGAGAAAGGAGAAGGAAGAAGGAAGGAGGAGATAAGGAAAGGGAAGAGGGCAACTCACGTGCGACATTGTTCGATTATGTTTTATGTGACAAAGAAAGTGGAAGGAGAAAACGAGAAACCATTGTGAGAAGAGAAAGGAGAAGGAAGAAGGAAGGAGGAGATAAGGAAAGGGAAGAGGGCAACTCACGTGCGACATTGTTCGATTATGTTTTATGTGACAAAGAAAGTGGAAGGAGAAAACGAGAAACCATTGTGAGAAGAGAAAGGAGAAGGAAGAAGGAAGGAGGAGATAAGGAAAGGGAAGAGGGCAACTCACGTGCGACATTGTTCGATTATGTTTTATGTGACAAAGAAAGTGGAAGGAGAAAACGAGAAACCATTGTGAGAAGAGAAAGGAGAAGGAAGAAGGAAGGAGGAGATAAGGAAAGGGAAGAGGGCAACTCACGTGCGACATTGTTCGATTATGTTTTATGTGACAAAGAAAGTGGAAGGAGAAAACGAGAAACCATTGTGAGAAGAGAAAGGAGAAGGAAGAAGGAAGGAGGAGATAAGGAAAGGGAAGAGGGCAACTCACGTGCGACATTGTTCGATTATGTTTTATGTGACAAAGAAAGTGGAAGGAGAAAACGAGAAACCATTGTGAGAAGAGAAAGGAGAAGGAAGACCATTGCATAAGCTGCTCTTTTGGTGCGGTCATCTGGGTTACCTTGCGGACCTAGAGTGGTGCCAATTGAAGGAGGTTGTCAAATCAGTAGTTGTACTCTATGCTTTTGTCGAAGTTGGCCAACTTAACTAGGCCAATGTTTATGAATGTTGCAAGCCAAGAGCATAGCCAAAAGATCTTCTTGGAGGTGGATAACAATAGGCTCCAACTCTTCATGTCCAACATCTCTTTTTGGAATCACATCACCAAATCCTGACATGACTCACATATCTTTTACCTCTTACTAATAAAAACTTGGAAATTTTTTAATTGTTTTCTCTTTTTTTTTTTGCTCTAGGAAATGGTACTATAGGAATTTATTGAATTTGCATTAGACGTATCAAACACAAATCAAAGGCTAATCGGACGATATTTTAGGTGATTGTCTTCGTTGCGTCCGATTTAGATTTGATTTTTTTGCGGGTAAAACGAGAGTTGGTAATGCAATTTTTGTCTCTTTAGTGTCGAAATAATTCGTCCTAATTTATTTGCGTTAACTTTGTATCGGTTTTGTTGAGGCTATGCTTGCGTCCAAATTTGGCGTCGAAAAAATATAATGTTAAAAGTTGCGTCAGATTAGTGTCGAATTAGCAACAAATAATATCGAAAAATGGCAAAAAAAATAATTGTCGCTTGATCGTTGGATTATTGAACGTAAAACAAATGCTAACCTGTAACAAAAAAAATAAAATACCAGTTACATTTCCACAACTGCCATGATGCATATAATCCACAATGCAATAATATTTTATCCAGCCATGGATAAATAACATTAACACAGATTATAGCTCAACTAAATATCAATAATGTAAAGCTATAGAATTTAACAAATTGTCCCAAATAATAACAACAAAATAAAATAAAAAATCCATTAAATGTTCAAAGTAATGCTAAAAATAAATAAATAAAACACAGAAAGTAAGTTCTAATCGTCATTTCCCACCCTCTCCTCCTCCTCATCCTCTACGAATGTTATTAGCTGCTTGCCCTGACGATTTGCTAAAGTCTCCGTCATGTGTGCTATAGAGTTTTCAACCCTTTATTGGCCTTCTATCATCTGTTCGCGCAACTGACAGAGCTCTTTGTTCATTGCAGCGACCTGTCTGGCTATAGCATCCTGATCTGGCTATGAGTAGCTCCTGGAACTTAGTATGGGACCACGGGAGATCTCGTCCTCGAAGGCTATGCTCTTCGCACCAAGGCCATAAGGCCTCCCCTTCTTTTTTCCCGCCGCCCGGGTCCTTTTCGTCATGGATATTATCTGTTATATATTCAAGCTCTCAAATTACGAATATTCATCTACATCATAAATGTAGCTTTATAGATAGGTACAACTGTTACGGAAAATAAAAATTAGTCAATACTGATCAATATTTGAAGTCAACATTATTTGGTCAAACAGATCAAGCTCATTAGTTTGTCAACATCTCTATTTAATCTTGTCCGTCATTTGATATATGACAACCCTATCACATATATATCCATTTATCATTTTGTCTTTTAAGTGTCAAGGCTCTCATGCGTTCTTCTAAGCATTCTCTTCTCAATGAAAATTATCCTTTTCTTATGATTTGCTTTTAAAGGCCAACATTCTATACCATAAAATATTGCAGGTCTCAACACCGTCATACAACATTCCCATTCTAAATTGCCATCACTTTGAACAATAGACCTGATGCATTCCTCCACTTGAGCCAATCAATGTGAATTCTATAAATAACATCCTCATCTATATCACTATCACTTTGA